ACATACTATACTATGACGTTTTTTTGTGATTTTAGACGACACCCTATACTTTGATGTTTTTTACATGATTTTGGATGACATACTATACTATGACGTTTTTTCGTGATTTTAGACGACACCCTATACTTTGATGTTTTTTACATGATTTTGGATGACATACTATACTATGTCATTTTTTCATGATTTTGGATGACATACAATACTATGACTTTTTTTCACGATTTTGGACAACATTACTATACTATGACATTTTTTCATTATTCTGGACCACATACTATACTATGATGTTTTTTCATCATTCTGGACCACATACAATACTATGACGTTTCTTCGTGATTTTTGACGACATACTATACTATGACTTTTTTTCACGATTTTGGACCACATACTATACTATGCCGTTTTTTCATGATTTGGGACTACATACTGTACTATGACTTTTTTTTCATGATTTTTGACGACATACTATACTATGACTTTTTTTCATGATTCTGGACCACATACTATACTATGACTTTTTTCATGATTTTGGATAACATCCTTTGTTATGACATTTTTCCAGGATTTTGGACAACATACTATACTATGAAGTCTTTTTGTGATTTTAGACTACATACTACATTTTTTAATTATTCTGGACTACATACAGTACTATACTATTACGTTTTTTCATTATTCTGCACCACGTACAATACTATGAGTTTTGACGACATCCTTTGTTATGACGTTTTTTCATGATTTTAGACGACATACTATACTATGATGTTTTATCATGATTTTGGACGACATACTATACTATGACATTTTTTCATTATTCTGGACCACATACTATACTATGATGTTTTTTCATTATTCTGGACCACATACAATATTATGACGTTTTTTCTTGATTTTTGACGACATACTATACTATGACCTTTTTTCATGATTTTGGATGACATACAATACTATGACGTTTTTTTGTGATTTTTGATGACATATTATACTATGACTTTTTTCACGATTTTGGACAACATGCTGTACTATGACGTTTTTCATGATCTTGGACGACATCCTATGCTATGACGTTTTCCATGATTTTGGACAGCATACTATGCTATGGTGTTTTTTCATGATTTCAGACGACTTACTACACTATAACGTTTTTTCATGATCTTTGACAACATACTCTACTCTGACGTTTTTTCATGATTTTGGACCACACACTATACTATGACCTTTTTTCATGATTTTGGACGAGAAATTATGCTTTGACTTTTTTACTGGGATTGTTGACAATATACTCTTCTATGATGTCTTTTCATAATTTTTGATGACATACTATATTATGATGGGTTTTTTGTGATTTTTGACTACACACTATACTTTGACTAATTATCCATGACTGTTGACAACATACTATACAATGACTTTTTTCATGATTTTGGACCACATACTATACTATGACTTTTTTTCACGATTTTGGACAACATACTATACTATGACGTTTTTTCATTATTCTGGACCACATACTATACTATGACGTTTTTTTCATTATTCTGGACGGGTCCATGTCATTGGTTCGACAGCCCATTGGTTCAACATCCCATTAGTCCGACTGTCTGCGGTGCTGAACGGCTCGCGGCGGGCGTATGGTGCTCCGCGACCGGCTTGAGGTGGAGCAGGCTCATGGCTTATTTGTTTGTCACTTTCTTTTTTATTTTAACCCACACCATGATCTTTTCCTGACTCTAACCAAGTGGTTTTTGTGCCTAAACCTAACCAGACCTTAACCACAGGGCATCGTGATGATTTCAGAACGGACTTCGGAACAATGAGTTTAATATGGTCGGAACAATGGGATGTCGATCCAATGGGCTTTCAGACCAGTGTGCAGTTCCCTTCTGGACCACATACAATACTATGACGTTTTTTCATTATTCGGGACCACATATTATACTACGATGTTTTTTTATGATTTCTGATGACATACTATACTATGACTTTTTTTTTCATGATTTTGGATGAGAAACTATGCTATTAAGTTGTTTTCTGGGATTTGTGACAACAAACTACACTATGATGTTTTTTCATGATTTTTGACAACATACTATACTCTGATGTTTTTCATGATTTTGGACGACATACCATACTATGACATTTTTTCATGATTTTGGACCACATACAATACTATGATCTTTTTTCATGATTTTGGACGACATACTATACTGTGACTTTTTTTCATGAGTTTGGACGAGAAATTATAATATGACTTTTTTTCTGGGATTTTTGACAACATACTCTTCTATGATGTTTTTTCATAATTTTTGATGACATACTATATTATGATGGGGTTTTTTGCGATTTTTGACTATATGCTATACTATGACTAATTTTCTGTGACTGTTGACGACATACTATACAATGACTTTTTTCATGATTTTGGGCGACATACTATACTATGACTTTTTTTCATGATTTTTGATGACATAAAATACTATGACGTTTTTTTCATGATTTCTGACGACATACTAAACCATGACGTTTTTTCATGATTTTGGACGACATACTATACTAAGACTTTTTTTTCATGATTTTGGATGAGAAACCATGCTATTATGTTTTGTGACAACATACTATACTATGATGTTTTTTCATGATTTTTGATGACATACAATAATATGATGATTTTTTTGTGATTTTTGACTACATACTATACTATGACTAATTTTCAATGACTCTTGATGACGTACTATACTATGACGTTTTTTCATGATGTTGGACGACACAGTATACTATGACGTTTTTTGACTACATACTATAGTATGACTTTATTTATGAATTTGGACGAGAAACTATACTATGACGTATATACTATCTTACTATCATCATTTTTGAGGACATACTAGCTTTTACTATGATTTTTTTTCGTGATTTTTGAGTACTTACTATAGGCCTACTTTGACTCATTTTCCATGACTGTTGACTACGTACTATACTATGACGTTCTTTTTTTTCCACGATTTTTGACAACATACTATACTATGACCTTTGTGATTTTTTTTCATATATCATTCTATGTTTTTTTCCACATTTTTTGACATTCTACAATATGAAATTCTTGTCACGTTTTTGGGATTCTTTACTTTTACCTTCTTTGTTTTAAATACTTCACTATGATTTTTTGATTACTTTTAAGACACTGTTTACTATTTCTTTTTTTTTCATTGCCTTTTTATGTCATACTATGAAGTTTTAAATACAGGTCATACACATACAATTTAAATGTAAATCATTTACTCAAACATTGTAGGTTTTATCAGATACAGATTCAAATGGAGTAAATTGCCTGTTTTATGGGGGCTGTATTTTCGGCTGCAGATCTGGTGAACTAGGTTGTAAATGCCACAAGAATCATGCATGCAGGATTGAGTTAAAACAAACCATAGAGCCCATGTTGTAGCTTTTTGATGTAATTTTAATAGTTTTTGGACAACAACAGAGAATAGATAAATGGATTTTGTCTTATCATGGAATTTGTTGACAATACATAAAAATATACAATATCACTAGACCTATGTCTTAATCAGGCAAATATTTTTCGTCAAAATTACTTCACAACTTTAAAGTGAGAGATGGTTGCAGCTGTAATGTGCACCTGTGTGGTCAGTGTGCGCATGGCTGCATGCATGAGCACACATATGTGCAGTTAAGTGTGTTCAAGCATACATCAGCACTGCTAACAAGAATTCTTGAGTGATGTAGAGACAAGATTGTTCACATCAGCATACTGTAGATTATTAATGGCCTCAGATTGCCAGTGGACACTTTCTATCAATCTCATATGATGGAGGAGCAGCGATAGGCTGCATAATTAGAAGCAAAGTCATTTTAAAGAATAGACACACATATGTGCGTTAAAACAGATAGTTGTACTCCAGACGAATCAATTTATCACAGCTGTCATGTGTCCAACATATTCTTTTCTCTCTGTGAAAGTCACTCTGCAAACTGCACTGTGGCTTCAGCAGCAGTCTGTCCTGAAGAGGAACATGAACCTGACTGTTTTGGACATCGTAGGTGTTTATTTTCCTGTCATAGCCTACAGCCTGTTTCATCCCTTTTCTCCGATTCTCTCCTGTTCTGTCGTTCCCCAACTCACTCTAAGTTTGCATCACCCCCTCAGCCCCCCCTTTCCCCTCTACCCTCTCCCCTTTCCCTCCTTCCTGCCCTCACTGAGAGTGGCTGGCTGCTGGGGTTGGCCTCCCTCTCACTGTGCCACGTATGTAACCTAAACTGTGCAGGAGCCAAGCAGGGCTGGGCCACGAGCAAAGCTTTCCACAAGACCAGTCTGAGTCTCTGAAGTCTCCCTGGACCTTGTTCAGTGAAGAATGAAATGGGGCTGCACATTCTCATTTTCCTCTCTGAACCATTTCACTTTCATACAGTGTAGTCCATATCTGCATCTACCTTTAGACATTAGTGCTCCTTTACCTTTTTATCCCTCCTTTTCCTATCTCGCTGTCTTTTCTCACACTTATTTTTTCCCTTCTCCATATGTGTCCCTCTCTGCTGCTCTCTCCGTTTCACTTTCACTCTCCGTCTCTGTCACATTTTCACTTTCCTCACACTATATTGTGTTGCTATAAAATGCTACCCTGGCCCCTCTCATATAAACACAGGCTCCTCCTTCACCCTTACTTAATGTCATTAACAGGTGGCTGTCCAAAATAGACGCACACACACACAAACAATGAGGCTGACACAGATAGAGACATGTTTTTAATCATGCAGGCATGGCTGTCGTCATGTGAGCCGACCACCCTGCAGCACCCCTGCTCCGTGATTTAAGATTCGAACATGTGCGTTGAGTGAATGGGTGCTGGTGAGATTGTGCAGTCTGAGGAGCAAACAGCAGTGCAGACACACACATTTGATCATCAGCAGTGTGAACCAACCAGGCTGCAGCCCCCTCCCCTGTTACACTCACTTTCCATAACCCTTATGTACCTCCCTCTCGCTTTCTCACTAACTCTCCCATCACCACTCTCCCCCTCTATTAAGTTTCAAGCGTCTCTTCCTCCTGAACTGAACAACACACACCAAACAGGTCAGAGTTATATTCTTATTTTCACTCAAGTACATTAGCCAGTTGTTGCTTTCTTGTGCCCACAGGTCACACAGGTTACTGGGGCAGTCTTTGGTGAAACCGTAAAGAGTTCCTTGTTTTCCTCGTGTGAAAGGCACCCGTGTTTACAAGCTTATCATCTGCTCAGCTGCTACCAAACTTAAAGTCAGCGCAGCATAGCTGATGCTTCATCAACGTCAAAACACACACAGCTCAGGATAATGTTTTAGTACAAAGTGTGCATTTGTGTGTGTTATCCCTCCAGTAGAGTAGCCTGGCATGCTCTGACCCCTCCGATCATCCTGTGGTTAATATGGATGTAATGTGATCAAGGTTTGTAACTCAGTGACTACTAACTTGGCTGTCAGCAGCTGCAGTCTTCATATCCTTTATTACAGTTAATGCTGGAGGAGGATTCAGATGCATGGCTGCTATTCCAAACTTTTGGATCATTAGAGACATGCATAGATTTGTTTAGCTTTTAATATTAGGAGATTATATGCCTTTGGGGAGCCTGCTGTGGGTCAGGATGGGGCGACAAATTGATATTATTGTCACTGACTTTTTGCAGAATAATATCATGATGATATAATCTTATCATGTTGTTGTTTTGCTCATATTTGTTGTCCAAATTAATGTCATCAAGTTAGTTGTGATTAAAACCTAATTCAACACACCAAAGCCAGATTCTGGCTACTACTATCAGACCATCTTTACTGGCTTGGCTGACTGGACTGTCACACTCTGTTGCCCTTGAGAAACTTGTATGATTAAGGGTAAATATTCTACTTTTGATGAGATATGGTAATGTTTTATGACATTTCTAGAGGGGGGGAGAAGACTACATAAGTCTACCTGTCTTAATTTGTTGAATGCAACGTAATTATGTGCAGTAGGTAGCAGTTCTGATTATTTAGTTTAGTTTAGTTCTGTATTGTCCTGTCATAACAGTTTCGGACGTTACTTTTTTTTGTTGTTGCTGTTTAAAGTAATATTTGAAGTATATTAAAAATCCGATGAACACACTTGTTTAAAAAAAAAAAAAATCAAACTCAATTAGGCATCAAAAATAATCTCATCACAAGGTCCACATAATTTTCCTCTGATAGTGGAGTTTACTCTTTCAGATAGAGTTGGCTTTGTCAAGTTTAACTGATGCTATTTGTTATTTAAGTTCTTTTTTTTAAACATATGAAGTGTCTGGTGACATGTAGTACATATCAATGAAACACAGATTATCAGAGGTGTGAACTCAAGTCAGAATCAAGTTACAAATTTGATGACTTTTGAATCGACTTGACAAAATCCAAAAAGACTTGCAATGTGATTTGGGTTTAAACACCAAAGACTCATGACTCCACCTAAACTTTCCCCCAAGCCGAAAAATCAAAACATATTACATTTAAGAAGTGTGCCATAAATGGATCATCAATCATTTCCTAAATCCACTCACACTGAAGCTATTCATTCCCAACAAGTTAACACTTAATTCCCCAGATTTACTTTGTCTGAACTGTCCAACAACATCCAGTCAAGCTGCAGTAAAGAGAAGAATACATCTATATTACTGAGCACCAGTTGGAAAGAAAGATACCTCAGATAATTTTGTTCATGTACAAAAACAACACTATGTTTCATGTGACATTATGATTCTTTACTCAATATACAGTTATTTTAGGTTCTACTTTACTCCTTCTGAGTTGTACAGGATGAGTCTACTGGCTTGTAATTTCTACATGAAATCTGGTGAACACATTTTAAAAAAAAAGTTCACATAGGGAAGTGTTAGGGTATAATTGTATCTAACTCACCAAGGTTATGCTTTATGGAGGACCAAACAGAATTACAGAATGCATCAAAATATGACCTTGTTGTGATAAATGTAGGGGTCGTCACAGCTGCTCGAGTGATCCTTCTGGAAGAGCACATCATCTCCAGATTTTGAAAAGTGGAAGGAGTCTATGTTAGAAATTGTGTCATATGAACACATGTTAACGAGGGTGAGCAATGAAGCTGAAAGCTTTAAGAGGTCATGGGCTTTTTGTATGTAATATAATACAATGTAATACGATGTGGTGTTTAGTTGTACCTCTGTGGTTGCAAAATTATGGGGTATACGATATATGTGTAGCTATCAGGTGCCTGCGGATATGTTGAGTTTCAATAACAGCACTGGCGGTTTGTTCAGATTTGACTGAATTGATGGATAAAAAAATCTGAATTATATAAAAAAAAAAGCTGAATGATATGATAAAGGTATTATAGCATAATTTCTGGTATTCAAAATTATATGGAAAAAAGTTAACATTAAAAAAATCCTTTTGTTTGAGCATGTTAAAAAAGAAAAGCAACAAAAATCTGTCACAGTCGGAGTTTTTGATTAAAAAAATTCTGCAACTAATAAAGTATCAAAGTAGTTGCAGGTTAATTTTCTGTCCAATTAACCAATTACTCGTTTAAGATTAATAAATGTGCTGACAGCAACCAAAGTTTTTTTTTTGTACTCTCTCTCTCTCTATATGCTGCAAACCATAAATTTAAATTCACATATTTCAAACTGCTCTTCATATTTATACACTGCAAAATATTGTACACAAAGGACCTGCACTCAGTGAGTTCATGCGGTGCGTCGCCTATATAAAATCTCTGATGCTGTCAGCGCAAAACTCTGAATTAAGTGATCCACCAACTGTGTGTGGCCTGTTGGTGCTGCCTTCCTAACTGACTGGGCCTCCTGCCTCCACTATGTGACCTGTTGGACTGCACAGCAGAGTTAATTACTGCTGCCCCCTCTCTGTCAGAGGGTTCAGGCATGAATTATCACCTCTCATGCACCCTGCGCAGAGCGGCGACACCGCCGTGCCCCGTCACTCACGTTGTTTAAACTGCTCCAAAGGTCCCCTGCTCACAGTCTGGAATAACAGAAACAACTCCATAAGCCTGGCCCCACTTAGAGCGCATATGCCACACTCTGAAACGCACACACACACACACATTCACATGGGCGCTCAAAAAGAGAGTCATGGCTGCAGATTCCAAGTGTTTGCTGGTACACGTAATGCAGGATGGGAGGTATTTGTGGCAACCCATTATCCCCACAGATCAAAGGGGATCTGCGTCTAAGCCACAGATAGTGTAACTGCTCGGGGAAGAGCTCTGTTGTCAACTCGTCTGGGAAAATAGAAGATGGGTGGTCCAGTCTGGCGCTGTGGTGTTATCTCTCACCTTGAACCCGCACCGTCCGACTTCACCGGCTCACCCAGCCCAATTGTTTCTTCATCTGCAGCAAAATCTGCCTTTCAGGGAAACGCCATATGGCTTATCTATTGTTGGCTGAGAGCATGTCATATGGCTTTTAGGGAGGGAATACTGTAGATGCTGATAAAGCTCTTGGAAATTAAATATTACGCTGGTGATGAAAGGATTTTGCTCTTGTAAAGCATATGCCCGCTGCTCTTTCATCTCTCTGTTTCATCTCTCTATTTCAGGGGACTGGACGGAAAACAGAAATTTGCTCTCCTGGTCCTCGCCTCCATCACCTCCCATTTTGTCATTTCCTTGCTTCATCCACCCCCACCCACCACACCCCCATCCTCTGTTCACTATGACTGATTTTGCTCAATGTACCCATCCATCACAGGCTAGTTAATAGCTGTGTCTGCATACTATTTTAAAACTTCCAAACCTCCACTTTCTTCACATTTAACCTCACCCCATTCTCCTACACCACCCCTCCATTTTTTCATCTATTACTTACTCCTCTACTCTTTAGCCAAAGTGCACTACTCTTTCCCCCGATCTTCCTCGGGCCAGTTGAGATCAACATGTGGTCCAACTTTTTCGTACAGCAGGATGAGGACGGTCGGATTGGAGTGGCAGGGGCTGGACAAGGCGGGGGTTTGGGTGGAGTGAAAGGTGGAAGGAGGAGGATCCACAAGATGAGCGACAGTCAGGAGGGAAAGATCAAGCTGGCCTTCTTTGTGGCTATCATTGGTGTGACCCTGACGGTGCTGGGCATGGGGACAGAGTTTTGGGTGGAGCTGGCCCAACCAAAGAATTTCAGTGGCAACCAGACCTGCCAGATGGCCCATTATGGCCTGTGGAAGGGCTGCATCCGCACCCTATGGGTGGCTGACATAGACCCGGAGAGGACGAGCTGTGGCCCTGCTGAACTACCTGGAGGTGAGACCTCTGGATGGAATGCGCCTGTGTGTCTGTGTGAGTTTGAGTTCATCTGTCTGTGCTGTCTGTGCTGTCTAGGAGGTGAGCAGGTGAGCTTTCTGGAGGGCATGTGTCTGTTTTGTTTCTGCGACTGTCTGCTCGTGTCTGCTTCTCTGCAAACTAAATTGCCCAGCCATGCAAGTGTAGCTTGAGGCTGCCTCTATGCTACAGTATGCACCTCAGTATGAAAGTGAATTAAAGGGATACTTGGCTGATATTCGCCAAGCTTTGTATCAAGACATTGTGGGTAGTATGTGTAAATGAACGGTGGTAAACATCCCTCCATCTTATCAGCGCCCAGATCTCGATGCTCATCTCTCAGCTCAAAAACGTGCCATCCAACAAATATTCCCTGCATCTAGGGCTGTTGCTCCAACTACAGATTGTACCTCTGTATTTCCATATGCTCACCACCACAAACACAAAGAGCCAACACATTCTCACTCCGACCTCGTCACATATCGACGTTTTGGTTGTGGACTTTCCACATCCACATACGACTTGCAAGGTACCCTGGGTGCATTGGTTGTTGACGTTCTGGGACACTATGTCAAGTTCTGTCTGTTACATGTGTTGTCTTCTTTCAAAATACACTTCCATTTTCACAGGAAATTTACATCAGCACAACACAGCGAAGTGACGTTTTTTTTCCTTCAACAACAAACACACATGGTTGGGTTTAGGCAACAAAAGCATGTGGTTAGGTTTCGGGAAAAAGAACAGGGTTTGGCTTTAGAATCTTACAGGATGTGAACGCTGCTCTATTGGGTGTAAGTCAGCGTTACTTGGATGCACCAACCACCTCTCCTCCTTGTCCCACTTGGACTTTCGCCACATGTTTGTGGTAAACAACATCAAGCACTTCCAGCCTATGCAATGGAGAACAACATAAAATAAATGTTTTTTGAATCTATCCGTTTCCAAGGAAAATAAAAGGAGCACCTATCCACAAAAATACATGCAGACAAACCTGCCGCCTTAACTTCCTTGTCTCGCCAAGTTTCCCCTTGCTGTGACCAGGTGCTGATAAAATATAACACCAAACAGCCACACAAGGACGCCTTTTTTTGTTGGTTTCCGATGCTGCAAGTCACTGCCCAAGTGCGGTATTTCGACGCCTTCAGAGTGAGACTGGGCTCAGAAAGCAGATCAAACATGGATCAAACAGTAACACTAGATAGTGCTGATCAAATATAAACTAAGATTCTTTGGCATCACTCTAACAATCACTATCATTTCCAAGAAGATAATTATATGTCCTCAAGCACTGAATAAAATTTCCGGAAAATAAAATGACATGCTCTGGGTCCATGATTTACGGGTAACTAACGTCTAACTAATTTACTAGCTTTCACCTTCTCATCAAGCGCACCTGGTTGCTAGGTGACAGGAACAGGTCAGGGCGGGAACAACGTGACACAACCAAGAAATCACCCGCAGACCAGACCGTCCTATTTCGGAGACCATTCGGTTTGGCTGATGCGGTCTTCAAAGGACGCGGCCGAGGTAGACTGCGAAGGCTGCGTGCTTCAAAGGCTGCAGCCTCTGTATTAAGACACAGCTGTATTTTAGTGCCCTGTTTGAGTTTGATAAAAGAATTTGTGAACAGGAAGTGGGCACCTGATTTCTTATCTACAGTCTCTTTAGAAATATATTTTAGCTTAATTCAAGATCAGTTGTTACCAGCTGACTACCAACCAGATTGTTTCTTGTGGAAAAATTGCAAAGCTCGCATTGTGTCACTCACTAGAGGGAGCGTTTATTAGTCAAGTCTGGTGCAGTGCATTCTGGTAGCTGTAGGTTTTCTTCCTCTTTAGCAAAAGCAAATGCCACAGCCTTTTCCTCTATTTTCTCTGATCAGTTTCAAAAGCATTTGTTTTTTCTACTACACAGACAGACCATCTCTCCAGCAGTGAAATTCTTCTTTAACAGAAAAGGGTCAAAGGATGTTTCGGAGAGGTTGCACGTTGTTGACATCATTGAGGGAAAAAAAATGTATACACTTAATCGCCGCAATTTTTCTTTGCCATCACCACTGATGTGAAAACAGAGGGAGCAGGCATAACTAATACGATGCATGCCCTCTGGGAATATGCTTACATCTGTAGGTCTTTTATCTGAGCCCATAAGGGACTGAGGAGAGCTTTGCCAACACTTCATTTTAATAAAAATAAATGTCATCCCACTAACAACCTCCAGATTTCTGAGCGACATATTTATGTTTTTTGATAAACACTTAACATCATTTCTCCATGCGTATATATTTATATACACTGCGTGTGCATCCACTGTAACCTTTTAAAGCAATGGAGAGAGGGTAGCTGTGTATGTGAAGCTGCCTGCATACATATGTATCTAGGTCATCCTACAGATAATGTGCAAATTGAATCATTAAAGAAATATGATGCTCGGAAACAGACCACAGTAAAGCTGCTTTCAACTCCTGTGCTATTGTAACAAACACAAAGCAGCACGCAGGAGCATTACACAGTAAAGTGTCTGTGATTCACAACATTGTCAGTGTAATGAAGCATCGATTTCAAGTTTTTCCCTTGACTGGGTACCTAATCATCTCCTGTTGTACACACAGTACAGACAGGTGATGAGGGGCAGACCACGGGTTTATTGTGCTGACGAACGTCCGTGTTTAGAGTTGTGACAGCTCCTTTCGAAAAGCGCTTTATTCAACTTGACCATGGTTAGGTTCTCCAGAGTGCGTTGATTATCCGCACAATGACCTACTTCTGTCTGAAAAGTGAGTCTGGAGACGGAGAGAGGCAGGTACTGGGAGAAAAGAGATGGGCAAGGCAGGCTTTGGAAGGTGCTGCTCCTGGAATCAGAAGGATCCGCTGAGACACAGCAGAGCTCTGAAGAAACCAAAAGAGATTTCTCATCCAGGAGAGATACACATGGATAATATATACATAAATACTATTAACATGCAGCACCTTGAATGATGTGTCGTTGTTTTTCTGTTCAGTCATCACAGCTAATTCATCTCCCCTGTCAAAAAATCCTGGCTGCTTCTATCTAGCTGTTATTTATCTGTGCCTTTGAGATGGTCTGTTGGTGTGTGAGAGCAGCCAGTATGCTTCTGACAATCTTTCTCACACGTCCTAACAGTGTTGGCCCACGCCGCCTGTCGCAGATGGCCGTGGGCTTGTCATGTTTGGAGGAAAACAACTGTTTTTGCCATCTCTGCTTCAATGTTTCACGTCGCTGTTTACATGCCTTTGGCTCCCGTCCCGAGCAAAGTGTGGCCCCACTGATGCCGCGCCTGTCATCTCAAGACCAGCTATCCATCTTCGCAGCCTGCTGGAGAGGGACATGACAGCTCAATAATTATAGCCTCAGCAGGGGTAGCGAGAGCAGAACCAGTTGACTGTGATAGCGTAATGTGTTAAAAAATCAGTAAGCTAATAAATGGCGTGTCTGCCTCGGTTAAAAAATGTTTGCCCAAACATATTTGTGTGTGAGGAAATCTGTGTGTGTGTGTGTGTGCATGTGGTCATCTTGGAGCACATGATATTCAGTGGGTGAAAGTCATCGCTATGCGCTTGTGAAGTCAAGTGGAATCTGACTACTTCACAGTTTTTGTCTAAATATAGAGAGGGGGAAACGAGGAAGAGGGACAGACAGGGACTGAGGGAGAGTGTATGTCTAATGCAGTATTAACCAACCCCTCTGTGCTTCCTCCCCCTCTTGACATCTCCTGCTCCCCTCACCTCCTTCTCCATCTGTGGCTCCCTTCTCTTTTCCCCTTCACTCACCACCCCTTCCATCTGCCCTCGACTCACTCCTCCTTTTCCCTGCCGTCTCATCCTCTGAGCCTCTATCCATATTTTCTGCATCCCCCCTCATCATTCGCTCAGCCAACATATCCCCTTCCCCTCACTCCTTCTTCTTCTTCTGCAGCCACGCCTCTCCATTTCTATCCTCCATCTGCCCCCTTCTCTCTGTCCACCTCTCTTTCTCCCCTCTGCCATCCACCTTCAGTGTGTTGCTGTCTCTCACCCTCTCTGGCGGCACCATATGTGCAGTGCTGGGCAGTGTGTGTGTGTGTGTGTGTGTGTTTGTGTGTGTGTGTGTGTGTCTCTGGGTATTCCAGCTAATGCTCGACACTTGGATATAAATAGGAATGATGCCTGGAAGGACAGAGTGCATGGATGCATAGGAGGCACATAACAGAAGACCAGCAGCCATCCATAGGAGTGTGTGTGTGTGTGTGTGTGTGTATGTGTGTGTGTGTGCGTACGTGCGTGCATGCACATGTGCATGTGTGCGTGTATCTGATCTTTTTTTTCTCTTTGCCCACAGAATCCAACTGTACCTACTTCAAATTCTTCACCTCTGGGGAGAACGCAGTCATATTCAAGAAGACAACTAACAAGAGTGAGACATCATACTTTCCTCCCTGCGTTTTCTGCTACACATGCAGATGCACACTAACAGTCACAGAGCAGCTACTATCAATAAAGATGTTCACTGGGGTGCTCAGAGGACCGTGCTGGTGGTTTTTGCATGTTTCAGCCCATTAACTTCTGCTGCCACCCATTTTCCAAAGAAAAACCATGAGCTATTAGACTGATGAATGTGTTTAACGCACTGTCCAGGCAGCTGCTAGTTTCAGTGTAGTTTGAAGATCAGCTGGCTGAGAACTGATACTCACATCACATAGAGCATAAAGTCAACTTTAGCTTTTAGTCAAAAGTTTTGAGCAGGGACTGTTTTGATGCATCCAAGGAAGTTAGGACATTTAAAATATAAGAGCTGTGAGCACAGAAGGTGCATTGTTGGCGTTCTTAAACCCAGAGGATATACACTAAGCAGTCCCTCCAGGATTTCACAAGCTGTTTTTGGGATTGCTGCAACCTGAAACGCCTGATTTCACGGCAGCTTTTCTAAAACATTGCAATGCATGTTGCAATGTTTATAGGTGTATTTTTGCAAAGAAAATACAGGGGGCAAGTAAAAATCTGGATTCGGAGCTTATTATTACCAGCATTAAGTGTTTCCCGCAAAATTAGAATCTACTTGTGAAGGTATGGGGGATAGGTCAGCAACAGCTGTTGCTGCCGTTGGACACAGCATTGACGGACGGTCTTCGTGAGCCGCCCTCCTCCTGCTTTCTCTGCACGGTTACCAAGACCTAACACACCACATATTTTGTCGGTTGGGCCAAGGCTCTGAAGCAGAGATTAACATCCGACACTGAACACTGGAACGGCACGACTTCATCATTAAACATGTCGTAATTCCTTGGGGTAACATTTGCCATGCGATGCTAACAGTTAGCCCTGTCACTGTGTGTGTGAAACTGTCTCAGGCACAGAACTCCAGTCCCGCAGTAGGCTCATGATAAACAGTGAGCGAGATGGGCTGAGAGAATCAATACACCAAACACAGTTCTACCATGAAATGAGATTTTATCCATTTTGGATTGTCAGATTTGCAGTGAAATTGCGGTGACTGGACAAAATTACAAGGTAGCGTATAATTTATGGGAATCGACTGAATTTGCGTTAATTGCTGAGGTGGCAACATCACAACATCCTGGAGGGACTGACTCAGCAAACACTGATTTTATTAGAGGGATAATATGTGGGTGTGTAAATCACAGTTTTCAGTGGGATATGACATCTTGATTTACCCCCTCAGTGCAGTTCGTTCGGGCAGGTGTGAACACAGCAATTGCACTCAGGTGTGCACCAAAACAACCGGACCGAGACCTTACTTGAAGAGGTGATCTCGGTCTGGTTACAAACGAACTCTGGTGCTGTTCGTTGGTGAGAATGTGTTCCGATCTCTATCCGAACCAACTGCAGTCACATGACACATTGTTTGGGTTAAACATGAGCATGTTACAGTCCTGGAGGATTATTAATGTGCACCTCCTCCTGTACTGCCTTAATATGCACATTCAGCACATCCAATGCATCAAAACATTGTTTTCTAGTTGGAGCCGCGCCTCGTTTTCAAACTGTATGGTTTGACTAAAATGAACAATGACAGCAATATAGTCCACGATGAGCAGCGCTAAAATCAACCTGCGTAGTTGTCCCTCCATTGTGACATTAGAAAGTGTCACATTTATCTTGCAAGTGTACTCTTCTTCAACGTTTTGTTTACTTCCTGGAGCATGAACCAAATCCAGGCGATTATACAACTACAAAGAAATTTAGTCCCTGCTTCGGACCAAAGCAAGACAACTCAAGGTCTGAAAGGACTCTAAGATGGCGTACATGCTACTTGTTGAATATTACGCCTGCTGAACATCAGCATGTTACTGTTGTGACTGTGAGCATGTTAACAAGGGTACATATGTAGAGCCTCACAGAGCTGCCTGCATGACGTTACACTCCAGTGTCCTCTTTCCTGAAACTGGTGGCTGTATGGCAGCCAGCTCATAGATGCCAGGCACCAACAACAAAGACTCTTCAAAACACCCTGTGGTGCCAACTATATTAACAAAATGTATTCACTGTGATGACTGATTCACGTCAAGCAAAATCCAATTCTCTGCAGATCCATTTAAAAATCTAATGGACAAAGCCTTGCATGGATGGTTTCCATGGAGGATAAGAAAAATACATGAATCAACCTAAAAGCTATAAAATGTAGCTGGGCAAAAACAAAACTGCTGTTTTTTTGTTGCTTTCATTGTTATCTATCACCTCCTTTTTGGCTTCTCTCTCCCAACAACAAAACCCATCCCTAAAGCTTGTATCTGCCCTGGTTTAATTAATAAAATAATAATAATATCTGCATGGTCAAGTGTCAAAAAACACAAAATTGGCACTGGCTATTGTGGAATGTTGAGCAGCTTTTTGGGTTGCACCTGTTCATGTTTCTAATGCCAGAAAAATCTGTTTAAAACAGAGCCAGTATGGGAAGTGGTACAATTCACACCATGTTTGTATTTTCAGAAGTATAAACAACTATAGGCCCAGTAGAATCAAACTTTGTGAGCTGATGTAATGTCTGATTTCACAATACCTTTGCCATCTTTGCTGAATATTTCTTGCTGCATGAAATTACAGATTTCGATTTCTTTACTCAAATTCTTGCATAGGCTATGCATTTGTACACTCAGTTCCCTTTCCTCCTTGATTTTCTCTCTGCTCTCCTTCACAGAGCTGAATCTAGCTGCAGCTATCTTGGCCCTTTTGAGTCTGACCATGATGGTGATGGGCTCCATCTGTATCGCCATGTCTCTCAGCAAAGGAGTGCCCTTCTTTCTTAAGCCAGCCTCCTTCTGTTTCATCCTATCAGGTGGGACCTCACTATTATATAATGTTCAACTGTGGCAATGTCACTAATTGACTGATGTTTGGCAAAATGATGTTTATTCTGTCTTTATGAGCAGTTGTTTGTGGAGATTATGAAGTTATTTTCAAGAGCTGGGTATCGTTTAAAAGAACAATGATACCAGTACCCTTAAAATGATGCCGACCCCAAGAGAGGACTTCACTTAATGCCCAAATGTGGAGACATAAAAACGTTACACAGAGAAACCTTTGTCCGATGTGTTCTGTCGTTGTCACTGCTTCTTGGTCAAACTTAGTCTCTAGGCTTTTAAATCGAACCCGTTCAGGAAATTCAGTGTGCAACACAATTGACTAAATGTGGGGTCATATTCACTTTTAAACAAGTGACAATCAGGATGAAAAATTCAGCCTTGGTGTGCAATGGCCTTTATGCCCCAAATTCTTTTCTTTGTGCAGGTGTACTGGTGCTTATCTCTGTCCTGATATTCCACCAGTCTGTGCTGGCCCTGCTGTCCAGTGACCACTCCATACCTTTACACCATGAGCTGTCCTGGTCTGTGGCCTGCGTGGGTTCAGCAGGAGCCATTCTTATTTTCGGAGGTTTCCTGTTCATCATCCTCTCCCTTCCTTTCAGCCCCTGGCAGAAATGCCTGCCACAGAAGAATAGCGCCACCTAGCACTTGAATGATAATAAAATACACATTTAGTGTTCTTGATGTCTTGTTTGAGAGCAAGCAGAGATGTCCAGTTCACGAGGGCTGTCACTTTGCTTGTTCTTAACATTTGTCACAGACATTGTACAAGGTCTTAATCAAATGTATGAAGAGAAGTCAGCCACACATCTGTGAGGCCTCCAGAACTTGCAAAAAAATGTTTTAGTGTTTTTAGTAGAAAATAGACAGAAGGAGCAACGGGAACTGCCCATTGGTTCGACAGCCCATTGGTTCAACATCCCATTGTTCCGACCATATTAAACTCATTGTTCCGAAGTCCGTTCCGAAATCATCATGATGCCCTGTGGTTAAGGTCTGGTTAGGTTTAGGCACAAGAACCACTTGGTTAGGGTTAGGAAAAGATCATGGTGCGGGTTAAAATGAAAAAGAAAGTGACAAACTCATAAGCCGTGAGCCTGCTCCGCCTCAAGCCGGTCGCGGCGCACCATACGCCCGCTGCGAGCCGTTCAGCACCGCGGACAGTCAGACTAATGGGATGTCGAACCAATGACATGGACCCGGAGCAACAGGGTTACTGCTGACTGTTTTTTTTTTTTTCCAGCTCTGTGTTGTGTTTACTTAAACAAGTGTCACAAATTGGCTTGTTAGCCTGCCTGTCGCTGTACATCCAAACATAAATCTGGTCTTTTGCTAGCATAAGGGGAGTAAAAAAACTTCTTTAACGCCAAGACATTTTTCTATTTTTAAACTTTTTGTAGTCAGTTTAACATGGAAGCCCATTTCTAGCCCATCTCTGGTGATTAGATAGGGAAATCAAATCCCCCATAGAAATCATTTAGACTGGAAGAAGATTATCTTGCTGAACAAAACATATAAGTATCATAAAGGTTTGTTTTCCTCTGAGCTTATTTTCTGCAATGATTCAAAATCCAAAGGAAAAATCTCATAGGCGTATTGACGAGGGAACCAGGGCGACGCTAACTTCCATGTCGGCCTACAGAAAAATGTCATCCCTGGAGCACTCTATGTCAGACTGAAGGTGGAAACAGACTGTAACAAGACAACAATTTTGTCTGATATCAGGCAAGCACTGATGCAGTTATCTTCTTAGGAGGATAGTCTCAAAGTTACATAACAAAAATTAAAAAGTAAATCACTGTAGATTGTAAATCAAACGTCAAAATGATGGCTAACAAGTCAGAAATTTGGACTTAGCATCACATAATTAGACTTACCCTGAGTATTTCTTATTTTTAATATGCTTAACTTTTCATGTTTTTTCAGGCAGAAATGAGCTTCCATAGTTTAAAACTCCTAAACCACCATCACAATGTATCACCATCACTGTAGCAACATGCTAACAATCAGCGAGGAGGAAGTCCTGATTACTTTCAGAGAAGTTACTTGTCATATCTGCTACATGTTGCCTGATCAACAGTCAGTGAGTGTCCTTAATATTCTAGCAATAAGTCCTATGAAGCTTTTTATTACTTAATACTTGATTTAAAAAAAAGAGGCTTCAAGTCGTTATTTATTACAGATGTGTGTTTTTTCAACTATTAGGTGAATGCTGCTTGGGTATGAATGTACGCTGAATGAAATCAACTGTGAGAAGTGGTTAAAATACCATTTTGTATATCAGAGAATTGTATGGACTCACTTTATAAGCTCAACTTTGTACATAAATTGAATATATGTGTTTATATTGTATGAATGGTCACTGTTTGTGGTGCTGTCTTCAGTCACTTTATTTGCGATACTAAGGTAGTAAATACACTTTATTTTTGTTGTAGGATGCTCACCTTGTCTCTCTATCAGGAAATGCTATTTTACAGAATATATGCTCATTTCTACTCATGTATGTGCACAGTATGTGGCACCAGGTTTGCTTTTCATTAAAGGGATTTGACTAAAATAATTGCCACCCTTTTGTTTGCTGACATGACACCCTGTCTCCTCTTGACATTCACCCATTTTCACCACTTCACAGTGTGACTCCTAACCTCTCCGCCAAACATATCCCTCCCCCAAACCGCTCCTCTATAATTAGGCCAGAGCTCATCGCAATGCATTTCACTGCAGAGGTTGGGAAACCTTATCCTTGAATTTCAACTATGCACGACCCAACACCACCCACCCCCACCTCCATTACCAGCCTATCCTCATACCCCTGTGATCTCTCCTCTCCTTCTCCACCCCTGACCTCAGTGCGTCACTTTCCCTGCTGTCGCCAGGTGACCTCGCCGGTCGCTACTCCTCCACTCCACCTCCACCAACCCCTCTGCACCACACACACACACAAGGACGACCGATTGGATCAGAGATGTCCCAATAGCTACTCACACTAAGCCTGCTGGGAAGTGGGTGGCATCCAGACACCTGCACACACACTCACACTTTCACACATGCTTTTAACTCTCAGTGGGCAGAAACTCAATCCACATGACACACTATCCTGGTTGTATATATAGCTGTTAATACTTCTACTGAGACTCTGTGGCAAGCAGTGCACAGCCACTAGCTGCATGTTTGTAAATGGAAATTGACTTCATAGACTTCTTGACAGATAAACAAATAACATCAGCTGTTATTACTGATATACTTGTCTACACTTGTCTATACTTGGATGTCAATGGTTAACTATTTATTGGTTAACTGCTGAGAATATTTTTACTGGTAATACATGTCTGTCTTTAGGTTAATTTTGCTACTCTTCAGTTTACTGCAATGTGCACCAACCTGACCTGGTGGGAGACAGTCAGCTAGCTAACTGTGTTGACATGCAGAAACATGCCCACTGCCCACCTTCCTGTCTCCACTGGTTAGCTAGCCTTGGCCTCTCTGCACTTTGCACCCAGGCCCCCAGGAAGTGCACCAGGCTTTGAAGACAACTTTCGTAGTGGCCAAACGGTTGCACTGCAATTTCAGGGGTCTGTCATGTGAAGCCCTGCGGCCCAAAATGACTTTTTCCCATTGACTTACACTGGGAAAGAGACATCTGTAAATCAGTGGAAACATTTTCCCAAGCAATGCACCCCCAAATGACTCGTTACACTGTCAGGATTTGATCCATTTGGTCTGATAGCATTTCAAAAGTCTAGAAAAGCCACAAGATTAAATTATTTTATTCCTATTTAAGTTAGCGGAGCGCTAAACTGGAAGATAGCTGTTTGGTGGGTGAAAGTAAGATGCAGAGCTGCACTTGGTCACGCTTGCTTTTATATATATAGTTTTAAAATGTTGGATATACATATTAAACATGTCCAAAATTTCAAATAATAAGGTAAATGTATCTAAAAGTAGTCCCTGTGAGCAAAAACCACAGGTTCCCTGATGCTCTTAAGTTAGCAGAGTGCTAAACTGGAAGTTAGCTGTTCAGCCGGTGGAAGTAAGATGCTTGGCTGCACTTGGTCATGCTTGTCCCCCATAAGTCTCTAGTGTGCCACACAATGCAGAAGCAGTGCCAATCATCCGGGTAATTTTATACACAGTAGTTGCACCATTTTGGCTTCAGGTGCCACTGAGCAACTCTCATAGGAATGAATTTGGCCCTGCTGCCATACCCCTAGCCCTGACATGCTAACATAATTAAGGATGCTAAAGGGGTTTTGTGGCACAAGATAAAGCCGCTTACTTTCTAGGGCTACTTGGGGGGAGACCAGAGGTTGTCATCCCACCACCAACATGGCGTTAGCAGTAGACACAAATGAGTGGCGCCACTAACCAGCTATACCCAACCTGGCTGGTGTGCAGTGCAGAGCAGCCAAGGCTAACATTAGCTAACCAGTGGAGACCAGAGGGTGGGCAGTGGGCATTATGTTTCTGTATGTGAATATGGTGATCTGACAGGCTGTCAACAAACCCAGCAGAAAATAAAAGGCAAGACACTGACATCACAACACATTAAAATCTGGCCACCTCTAAATAGATACTGCTTTGAAATGTGGTGCTAATTCTCACTCAGTTAGTGGAGCACCGCACTAAAAGGAAAGGCCTCTTGTATGTCACGTCATTTTGTGTTTTTGTTTTCTTAAACATTAACTGGTTTGTTACTGTTGGATGAGTGTCAGGCTATCAAAAGTAAAATTAGCCAAGACTGTTGTACATAATGCCAGTGTAATGTTTATGTATCTTAAGCTACACTAAACTGTGATAAGGCATGACGCCTGTGTGGCAGATGACATTAGTTTGCTTTGGCAGCCTCTCATCCTTCCTTCTAAATCTCAGCTGTATCACTGTGACTAAAACTAGACTGTAGGTATGATACTAGCAGAGGAACACACTCCCAATAACTAATCCTCAGGGTCCAGGAGCACTGCTAGGAATCTCAGGCTCCTTGTCAAAGATGTGACACTGCTTCCCTCTACTCAAATGCATCTGAAGTGTCATCCCTCGTCTCTGAAGGGACTCTTGCAACTTGATCCTCAATGGACGTATTCCCACTGTCCTCTCTACCAGTGATAAACACTCTGGGGTCAAGCACAACCTGCCCAGGGGGCCTGAAGGGACCAAAACAGACCTTCGCAAAACTTTATAATTGATAATGCAAAAACATGCACGAGGCACCAGATGGGCCCATCAGGGAAAAAAGATGATGAGCTCAGGTAGGGCGGTGGTCACAGAAAAGTGTACTGAATTAACTTTCAGTCACTTTTCTTATTATCCTATTTGACAAATACCGCCCATCTGGTGCTACCCATATATTTGCAAATATTATGAGCCTCAGGTCTGACAGCGAAGGTCGAAGTCTTTTAGGATCACAGCACACCAAAGATTAGCTGAGAGAGCAACTACTAAGAGTAATGTTTGCTCTGCGATGATGAACAGCGTAATCGCCTAGTGGTGAAAAGTAACTAAGTGCATTTACTCAAATACTGTACTTAAGCTGAATGTAGTTATACTTTAGCATTTCAGTTGCAACTTTGTACTTCCACTCCACATCTCTGAGGGGAATATTATAATTTTCACTAACATTTATCTGACAGCTTTACTGCTTCATCTGT